AGTGTTATTTTCTGGCAGGAGAAAACTTTCCATTTAAAGGTAAATGTGTTCAGTGGACAGCTTCAACCTGTACTGCTGGTTCTTCAACAAGTAAAGTGAATGCAAGCTTAGGCGTTTTCATTCTTATGTGCTGATACACAAGATGTATCCCTTGGGGACCTTCTCTGAAGACAGTTGAACTGAAGTATTAAATCAATTCTAACAAAATTGTTCTGAAAAATCTAATTAAAAAAAACCTTGTACAGGCGAGAAAAAGAATCCAGAATCTTGGTTTGGATGCAATTTATTCATGTCTTTGAATGTGCTGAATAGGGCGTCCCAACTATTGTGTTAGATGACATTTTGGAAAAGGTTTGCCATTTTGGAAAACGTTTACCTTTTTTACTTCATAAGTATAATTTATCCTTGGCCCTCGTGCAAGCTTTTTGCCAGTCTCACTGCTTTTGAACATTGAAGCGAACAGGAATTTATCAGGGCCTCATAATGCTTCCAGAATGAGTAGCTGGTGGATAACCTGGTGTCCCCAGAACAGGAAAGATGGAGCCCTTATGTAAAGTTTCACTGTCACTAGAGAGGGGAAGAGGATACACACATTTTATTGCTTATGTAGATTTTAGTAATAAAGCCTGTGGTCTTTGTACGCAGTACTACAGGGCAAACCTAGAAGAGCAAGCAGCATTTTCTGAGTGATGGTCGTGAGCCAACATTTGACACAATTTCTCCAAGTGATTTATGCCACTCCTAGATGGGGAAACGCTTCACCAAGAAAATAAAAGTGGCAGGAGAATTATGTCATTGGCACTGTCATTGACTAAAATTAATTGATGATGCAGTGCCTTCATTATGATGAAAGGGCTGGGTAAGGATACAGATCATCAGAAAACACGGCGACCAATTCGTAGTGTTGCTTTATTTTCATGTGTTTATAGCATTGAAACTGATGGATTCTAAAAACCATGGAAGTATCATTTGTATACGTGGTTTGGGAATATAGCTCTTTTAACTGATTAATGTATGATAAATTTTATATTGGGCTTCCTACAAACTAATAAAGGTATCAGAAAATTTGTTTTCCAGGAAATTCTTTGATGTTTCAGTCTCTCTTATAATTTCTCATTAATTATAATTTTAATCCTTGTTTGCGTCTTTTGTGAGTGCAGAACTGTCTTCAAAGGTATGTGTCGGTTTGTCCAGCAGAAATACAAGTAACTTTCACACGTTTAGAAGATTTTAAGTAACTCTTAGTCAATGTGCAAAACTGATCTTTCAGAAAGGAGGCACTAAGTTGAATAGTAGTGCACTGTATCTTGTGAATAGTAGTCATGCCTTATTTTGGGGAAAAATAATATAGTGCTACAGGAACTGAACAGGGCAAAAAGAGGGACATTGGTTATCACATTTGGCAGTGGCATTTTTGTGCTTCTCTAAACCATAGTTGGGAAGTAGTTTGTTGACCTTTAAGCAATCCTGGACTGTATTTTGACGCAGACTTTCTGAGGCGGTACGGAAGGCTGCTGGTGTACCATTAAGAATCATACAATTGAAATAAAATGGCTACCTTGGTTATCTTGAATAGGGCACAGAAATGGCAATCAAAAGATCATCTGGAAGGACATGGACGCATTGTTGGGTGCTTCTACTGTTGCTGAACAATACTACTTATTTTCTTAAAGCAAAACAGCACTCTAGAATATTACCATAGGAAATCCTAATATATCTGATTATTTATAGCATAGAGGGTTGGGGGTTTTAACTGTTTATTGTGATTGTTGGTATAGTTTAAAAAAAAAAAAAAGTATCAGTTGTTTGCTATCAGCTGGAAAGATTTGTTTGGTTTAGTAATATTCCATCTTTCATCATCTGTGGTCATGCTAGTCCCCCAAATGTCCATGCTTTTATTAGCTAGCTGTAGAACTTCTGTCATTTGTATTTCAGCAATTACTGCGAGTACTGGCAATGAATGCCTCACTGGCTTCTGTGGTGAAAACGCAGTTCTTAAATTATAGATGTTACTTTAAAAGAGCTAGTGTGTTTTATACTGACAAACATGAATAACTTAATGAACTAACATCCGCTGGAATTCCAGGGACATTTCAAAATGTGAAGTATTTGTTTGATTTACAAGTTAAGGAGAAGTTTCTTCTTTGTGAATGTATTTTCTCCCTTGCAGTGATCCTTCACAGATTTTTGTTTAAGTTTTGTGTTTACAGTCCCCAAATTAGGTGGTTTCATTTTTTTGAAATGTTTTGCATTTAACAATTCTAGCTCAAGACTATATCTTATTTCTAGTGTCCTCATAAAAATAGGTACAGTTGAAATTTTGTTATAAATGTTTTCCTGATATATTCCAGTCTGGTACTGCATATTCCCAAGCGTGATCCTCTTGAACTGAAATTTTTCATAGTTAGTTGCAATGTAATTACTTTTTGATGTTGCAATATAAAAATAATTAGATTTTTTTTTTTTACTTGATTTTTAAGAGTAGACAGTATTTTTTCTCTGTTTAAAATCTTTCAGATGTCTTTCTGCAAAGATAGGCCAACACTAGTAGAATCGTAGAAAAGAAATTTCCACTTCGCTCCTGCTTTTTTCAGAAGCCAAGGAAGGTAGCAAGAGGAATAACTGAATGATTACATGACTTTTTAACATTATGGAGAGCGGTGTTTTCAAATGCTGTTTTGTGGAACAGGACATCTTCCTAACTGAGGTCTTCAGCTGCAAAATTTTCAACTTTGGCATACAAAGTATTTATCTCCTGCTACCCTTTCCTTCATTGCTGTCATCTTCTCCTTGTTCCCAGAGGAAACACGGGGAAGGAATGGGATTCTCATCCAATTGACTTGCCTGTGCCACTCCTGTTCAGTCTAATGAAAGATGGCCAGCCCAGAAGTCACTGCCTAAGCATAATATCCCATGAAATGAAAATTACCCTGTGGGGGGGTGCACATATTTTGCTCAAACTTTGATATAAAACTTTAATTTTTGCATTTCCCATTTTTTGTATATGTGTGCTTAAACTCATAATGCTAACCTTGTAGCCTGGTAAGGTTATTTTTCATTTTCTAATCATTTTATTCTTTTTTTCCCTCCAGTATTAAAATCTAATTTTTGTGTGTGAAGCTAGTGTGTAAAGTATGATTAAGTTAAATGGATTTATCCCTTTTAATAATGTAAAACTTAGTTTCAGGCAAACCAAGTCATCAGCGTAGTTTTAAAAAAATGCTGTGAACCTTGGTGTATCTTTTTTTTTCAAAGCTTCTATGTACTGTAACATAACCTACTCCAAGTAATTATCATATATTATAGTGGTTGCCATTAGTGACTGCTATAATTAAGGTTGCAAATCAGTTTCCATTATAATCCCTTGTTTTCACACAATCATAACTTGTCAAAACACTAACCTTTGGGACTAAAGTTTTCCACAGTTGTTCTGGTTAGAGGTAAATTTGGAGGGAGGGAGGAGGAAAAGGAGTTTGAACTATCCTTACAGCAAATCACTGTCCAGTCATTTTGCTTTATAGGATCAAACTGCATAGCAAGGATAGTTATAATTTCCAGGGACTAGAAAAAACTAGAAGAAAGGTTAAAGGACAAGCAGTACAGGACTGCCTTGAGTTTTGGTTGCGCTTCGAACGTTGACTAGCTGACCCCACTACTTTGTGTTGCAGCGTCTCTGCATAACACCGCAAGCAGTATTAGTCTTACTTTATTAGCCTCTATGTCCCAAAACAAAACTGCACGATGTCAATTTTACTGCTAATCAGATGACAATCAGATTACCAAGGTGGAGAAGAGATATGACGGTCAGGTGTGGATTCATGATTCCAGTTGTGAATCCCAGTCCTGAATCTGATGCTGGTTTGAGGGGGGAAAGCTTTCCTAAAAGTGAAGTGGGGAGGCAATATAAGAAAACATTTACTGTGATTATTTTCCCAGTAGTAGCTCCTAAATGTCAGTAACTACTGCACTCCTCTTTCCGGGGTAGAAATAGCACATTCCTGTATCACTACAGATAACCCTTTGTGTAAACTTTCATGGTGACCGCTATGCAAAGCTTGTGTAAGTTCCCATTTATAGTATTTTTGGTATGACTTGACAATTTATTTTATCATATAAAGAGATCACGTTTTAAGGCATAATATAAAGGGAGTGCTTGGGCAGGCAGAGTTGAAGGATAAGCTTTCAACCCTAACATTCATTTCCTGTACTTGTTTTATCATCCCTAACATTACATTAGCACTGTTTCGTTGCATAGAATTCATTTTAAGAAATGGTGATTGGTTCTTCCCCTCAGCCCTCTGGGAAAGTATTTTAATTAGTTTCTTGAGATACATGATAATAAACTGAAGTACAGTTACTGAGGAAAAATTACACTTTTTGTTACATTCAGAAATTGCTCCACCGCTAGTCTGTCTGCAAACTGTTGCTACTGCAAACATCTATCTGTCTTTGTAAGATGTTGTGAAATACTGGAAAAGTAAGATTTACAGACAAAATAAAATAAATGGTAACATAGAAAAAAGCATAAGACTTCCAAAAGATCAGGTTTTGGGAGATCTCATTGTCTGCAGAGGGTCCTGTGAGTCAGTGAGATGTCTTGCAGATGGGAAGGTTTCCACATCTGGATTCTTTTTACCAGTTGAGGTCTTTGATCTGAAAATGTTACAACTCTCCTATGCCCTGTGATTTGTCTGGCAAGATGAGTTATTTACAAATGCAATTGCTCTTCTGACAACTTGGTTTTGAATGTGTAAGTGCTGAGGTCCTGATCTGTAACCCACAAGGACTGCTGGTAGTCCTTTTATTGGTTTCAGTGGGCTTTGATTCAGATCTTTGGACTTTGAAGCACCCCAGGTGGATTAGGTAAAAAATTCTTTTTACAAACAATTATAATTTAAAGATTTAGGATTCTAAGTGTCTGAAATAATTTGACAGTGCTTCAAAGGCTTGTGAATTTAAATAAGTTTCTGATCTTTGTGTCTTTTCTTTTATTCCTCCAGTGGCAGATGAAAGCAAAGTTGGTTTGCTGGCCGGACACAAATCGGGTAAGCTGTTCTCCTGTTTTGGAGGAAAAGTCAGCAACTTGAAAGTAGTACGGGCAGTAAATGAAATCAGCTTACAGACACTGTGGTGACTGAGAGAGCTGCAAATTAAGGCGTTACTTTCTATGCACTGACTCCAAGTTGTACAGTGATGAATTAGGGATTGTTCTTTGCCAGGCAGTGTACGTAGCTGAGTCATTTGCAGGAAGAGCTGTGACTTTTTTTTTTCAGTGCAGATGTTGTAAACTGAAGAAGATGCCCTTTCAAAGAAGGGCAAGTGCAACCTGTCTTTTGGAGAGTGCAGATTTAAACAATACACATTTTGAAATGTATAAATATTTCTTGCTTTTTCTCCTTGTTCTGAGTTCCACTTTCATTACCAGGAATATTGAAGATAACACTAAAAAAATCCTACAGGTGGAAAAAAAAAAGTCTAAATTTTTCCTTTCATTGTGCTTGTGCAGTAGAAATAATTGTGTTTTTCCTAAACTTTTTAGGCCATAGTAATAAAAAAAAATTAGTCCATACTGCTGTCATTACTGTACCTACTTATTAAATAAGTTCCTCAAACAATACCATGGTACTGTACAACTTGCAGTTCTTGTAGTATAAGAACTTTCAAGGAAATGTCACATAAGATTGGAATTCTTCACAAGCCGTGCATAAGCTGACATAAGAAACCTTAAAGTTTCTAGAAAACTCAAGTTATTCAGCAGTCTCTTCTGATGATAGAAAACCCTGAAGTTTCAGGCTGCCCCTTTGTAGCATGACTGCACGTTGTCTTTTCCCACCCGTTTGATAGAACTGAAAAACTGAATTCATGTAAAGGAAGGTCAAGTATGAGATTCCTGATTGTTTATGGTATTCCTTCACTGTGCAACTGGGAGTCCTTCTTTAGTTCTTCAGTTCTCTGGTGTGGATTTTCCTTATCTGAAGACCTTTTCCTGAACTTAGTAGACAAATTCTTTTTCAATTTTTTCTGGCATCTTTCCTAAGTCTGTGAACTTCTTGGATTTTCTTTCTGAATCAAGGGGTAGTTCATATGTCTTGTAACATTATCACTCCTGGGGAGAAAAATTCTTTCAACTTTTTGTTTTGGGAATGTGAAAACTTCAAAGAAATGATCTTGTCAACTTGAATAAGCTAGGGGTGTTGCCCTTGATTTTTTTTTCCTGTACAGAAAAATTACTACAAACATTGCAACATCATGCAGTTTTCCAAAGATCAGTGGAATTCACTGCTATCAAAGAGTATTGGAAGGAAACCTGGCAAGATCATAACTTTGGCAATCAGTTGTTAGAGATACATTAAGCTTTATAATATCACTTTTAGCAGCATTTGATCTTTCTTCTGCACACTTCTCCAGATTCTTGAAAACCATGGCTTTGAAAATTTTTCTGTTTGAAGACGCCTACAAATTTTATATGAAAATGTGGACCCATGCTTATTGAACTTTGGCTTATTTGCTTTACATATTCTTCATAAATCTCTTATGTGTACCTAAGATCTTTTGTCATAGGCTAAAATCAGTGGTCAACAGATCACCTAAGGAATAGATACAAAGATCCTACAGGTGGTTTCTTTTTTTTTCCACTTCAGAATGAAAGGAGCTAGCTAACTTCTGAGAAGGTTGGAGTGTAAATGATTTGTCTTGGTTCTGTCCACTTCAAGTACTGTTCATTTACTGTTGAAAAGTGTTTCTGCCTTCTCTCTGTTCCATTTCCTACCCCTTCATAAAGAGAAATCAAGCTGCAGTTTCAGCTTTCTCACTGTCCCATTTAAATACTTATTTTAAAGGTTTGTTCGAGAACATGGCGTTCTTTTTCTCTGGTCCCTTTTTACTGTATGCTTTTTGGAATTATATATCGTACATGCATCTTGCTGGCATTCAGTCACATCACAGAACTCTTGTTTTAACATTTTTCATTGTGCTGCCTTCCTATAGGTATAGGTACTTTTTTTTAAGAACCTGCTAAGGGAGACATCACAGCTTCTTGTGCTGGGAGCAAAACACAGTTATTTTCTCATTACAGAACGAAGAGCTTCCATCCTGTTCTAGACTTCAAGAAATTAAACATATTTCTCTACAGAATTAATTATCACCTACTAACAATCAATGCAATTATCCCTTCTCTCCTTCAACATGACTTGTTCTATGAAATACGCAGTTGAGTAATTCTCTCTAGGGAAATATCCCTTCTATTCCTTCTGGGGCAGTGGCTCCTCAAGCATTTAGTCTCAGCTTTTGGTACAGCTTCTGTATCCCTCGCATATTACATGTTACTGAGCAGCAGCAGGATTTAATAGTGTGTATTCATTTCAAAAAGCGTTATCACAATTCTGCAGAAGACCAAGGCATTAGAAGCATCTGTAGCTGTAGCCCCATCTTTCTGTCTTTTTATATATTGCACCCACAAAGAGCAGTTCCTTTTTTTTTTTTTTCTTAAAAAGTAGATTAGATTTTTAGAAGCATGTCTGGACACATCCTGAGCTTGTAAGCATGTTCTATGGGAAGATGGCTGGAGACTTGTTCCTGTATTTCATCTTCAAGAAATGCATCTGTGAATTCTGGTTCTCATAGCTGGCCTGTCCTTCATTCCGCCAGATGGAAGGCTCCTGCAGTACTTACAGGTCATCTTGGTGTTGCAAATGTTTTCCACAATACCATTGGCAAAAGCACTGGAGTGCTGTATTGATGCTGCCTGCTTGGCCCTTTATGGAAAAGGCTGGAGTTCAGAGTGTGTGCATATGTAAGGCATCCTCTCTGAATCCTCTAAGGAGGATTTTGTCCTCTGTGAGCTTCCTCTGTGCTCAGCAATGGTGTGTCCATGTTCCCTAAACTCAGTTCCAACGATGAGAATGAGCAGCAGACAAGTGGTGCTTCTATCTTAAAGCAGAAAAGATCCCTGAAAATGCACAAAGATGAAAAATCAGCAAACTTTAGCTCAGTTTTTCATGAACTCCTAGCTTTTTAGAAAAGGGATTCCAGGACAACTGGGAGATACCCTTCATAAGGAAGGGCCAGACTGTTATATTTCAAATATAACCTGGTTTATATCAAATACTGAAATCAAGTACTTAATTCTTTGTGGCTATTTTAATTTTTTTCTGAAATTCTTTTTTTGTGTTCTGATTTACTGCTTAGAACACTTTTAGTATGTATTGACTGTCTGCTGAGGTCTCTGCTGACACAGCTCTTTCAGATGATGTAGTGCTGGAGAAAAGCTGATGAGTATTTCTTTATGAGCTCTGACATATTAATTAGCAAAATGGGCAAAAAAGCTTTCCTATTTTTATTTTAATGTCACTACACCATGCTTTTGGCTGGGGTTATGTTTCGAGACAAGATGAGCTGAAGATCTTATTTTCTTGTTGGCTGCTATGTGAGGAACATGTGACCAGGCTATGGATTAGTATTGGCAAGATTAAATGATACAGGGGTAGCTCTGTTACCAAGCTGAATTTGAATTAGTGCTATATGGCAAGAGATAGGGTTAGGACCTGAGTAAGAAAAGGCCCATTGGGATAGTTTGAAGGATGCTTCTGGTCAGGTTCTGCCCCTTACTGTTAATTTTACTGACAGTGCAGTTACCAGGTTACTGTTCAGCCTGTGGGTAGGATTAGTGTTCTGGGAGACAAGGCTTGAAGAGGTAGGTGTACAGCTAAATCCTTCAAGGTCAGGGCTTGCATGAGATCTGAGTGCCAACACGTCTGGTAGACCTCCAGTCTGTACCGCTTTGCGTATGGGTAAGTGAGTTGTGGTTAAACTGGGATTCAGACTGAGACTGAATAAAGTAGGTTAAAGGTCTTGGTGTACCTCTGCATCCTTTAATGCCAGGATGTATTCTGCATTAAATGAATTTTATTGAGCCTTCGTTAAGGCTAGGATGAGGATTAAGATTATGGTTTAGGACACAGGAGTGGTTGAAAAGTTAGTCTTATTGGTAGATTTTATATGACCCACTGAAATAGGGTGTGGAAAGTGCAACAGATTAAGCTTCATCGTTACCTTCAGGAAAAGCCCTCCAGCCTGTTGCAAAAGCCATGGTTGCATTGGTAGGTGAAAGAAGTTGATGAGATGCTAAGGTTGCATCTATACAAGTGTAAGCTGAATGTTCCCTTTGGCTTCAAGTTGAGTGGCACAGGATGATCCCCATCTGTGCTCTGAGCCCCTATTGTAAAATGGCTTCAGGTTGCCTCTGGAAGCTGTGCTTGGTATATCCTAACTCCTGAGCCATTTCTAGGAAGCGATTGTGAGAGCAGAAGAGCTGTTATAACACCTTTATAGTGTAGATGATTACGTTCTAGTAAACTCAGGTGCACCCAGTCACTGCTAAATTTGCAAATACAAACGTTTTGAGATTTCAAGAGCTCCAGCTTAGTTTTTTGCAGGGACAAAGTAGGGTCTGGTGCAGGTGGAATCCAGTGTGTTAAAGTTTGTCCTAGTAAAAGTGTGAGTAATGGCTAGGCTAAGCTTATGGCTGTAATTTACGTGCAGACTTGGAAGGGCAGACAGAATCATAGAATCATAGAATGTTTTGGGTTGGAAGGGACCCCTAGAGGTCATCTAGTCCAACCCCCCTGCCGTGAGCAGGGACACCACTAACTAGATCAGGTTGCTCAGAAAAGAAAAGGCTCTTTCAAAAAATAAAACGTATTAAAAAAATCATCCCTTCCCCC